CACCACCCACAATTTATACAAAATTTAGTCCCCTTGGCCCAAGGATGCTCTATACTAAATTTAGATAAAATCCTTTTATCCCTACGGTAGAAGAAAGATTTTTAAGGTTTAACCTCTATTTCCCCTATTGGGCCAAGCCCCTCTGGCCCCAGGAGGGCCACAGTCATTGTTTTACAAAATTAAATGCCCTTGGCCTAAGGGTGCTCCAGACCAAATTTAGTCAAAATCTACTTGGCCGTTCAGGACTAGTAGTCTTTTATAGGAAAAGTCGACGGACAGACGATACGCCATGGCATAAGCTCACCGGTCCTTTGGATGAGGTGAGCTAATAATTTGAAAATATATACATGTATAAAATGAAAAAGATTAAATGTCCATGTGAAGTAGGTAATTATAGAAAAAAATAAGATATAACGACCGACTAAAGAACAAAAATAAAATAAGATTTAACAATAACGTTATAAAAGCAGGGATCAATTTAGACTTGATTCACTACCGTTTATGGGTAGTTTCCCCTACAGAAGAAAATTCCCCCGTTCTTTGAAATTCCCCCTGTGTGCTTCAAAATTCCCCTATTTCAACAAGAAAATAGCTGTTTTTCTTCAAAATATTTCCCCTATATATATTTTCTTTAAAGTTCAACAGTTAAAATGCATAATACTGCATATATACATTTTCTCCACATAATTTAAACAAAAATTCTTCAATTTTAAGCTTAAAATTGTTTAAAAATTGAAATATACTGCATACATGTATGTCAAACAAAACATTTATCTTTTACCTTCATGATGACGCTAGAGCCGCCCCCCCTCATTTATTTATTCATTTCTGGAATAGCTCTTATTACATTTAAAAGAACATATAATGATGAAAATATTACTGCAACCAAAAACATGGAGGAATTAATAGCATAATCTTTGGCACCATATTCTAATTGCTACAATTGAATATAACAATGTTGTCCTTTTGAAATATGTCCTCAAATCTTGCATACATTGTGATGACACGTTACTATTGTAGTGTGATGTCATGTAATTTTGACATCACAATGTTGTCCTTTTGAAATATGTCCACAAATTTTGCATACATTGTGATGACACGTTACTATTGTAGTGTGATGTCATGTAATTTTGACATCACAATGTTGTCCTTTTGAAATAAACCTGAAGAGCCATGTGAAGGGTGAAAGCAGCTTGTTTTTTAGTTGGTTGTTAGATCTAATTTTTTCTAATACTAGCAGCAGATAATTTAACAATTATGCCAGAGAGATATCGCATTCTACACCTTGATAAAACTAATTTCTCTCATTTCCCTATGTGTAAGATAGAGCTGTCCAGGGTACGAAAGGGGTGTAGGAAATTTCTATCTTATACCCCATTTCACGTGACGTCACGTCACAATGGCTCTACAATGATGTGACGTCACAAATTTGGAACTGTCCGATGCCGCAATGCAGAAAAGGCGACGTGATGAAATTTAAAACCTATTACGATATATTTACCGTACACGTTAGAAAGATGTGATTAATTTTCCTGCACAAACTCTGTTTGCCAATATGGGATATGCTAAATCCGGCTGGCTGATACGTTTTTGTCTAAAAAGCTCTAGGGGGGAAATTATATTTTCAAAATGGTGGCCAGTCCAAACGCATTTTCAGGGTTTCTTAGCTTATTCTGGTGGTTGGAATGAGAGAAAAATACTCTTTCATGCCCAAGGGTATAGGATAGGGAAATTCCACCCTCTGGATTTTCAAATTTGGCAAAACCCTTGGCAAAGCCTTGGGTTTTACCAAATTTAAAATAAAAACTCGGGTGGAATTTCCCTATCCTACACCTCTGAGCATGAAAGGGTCTTATAATCTTTCACACTGTCAGTGGTGTAAAAATGTGATATGTCACAGTGTGAGAATATAACTTTTGGTATTGATTAATCAGAAAATCTTTTTATTCACTTCATTCAAAGCTACAGATGAAGCAAATACAGAATCAAATGCTGTTTGGGTACATCTTTGCTACACACACACAAATCTATTTATTCGTCTAAACATTTCTTTAAGCACATCTTACCAGATAACAGCAGAAAAGAGTACAATTGCTTTGAGTACCCTATTAAAATGGCTCACAGCTTAATTCTTGTTGTCAAGCGTGATGTACCCTTGGTAGTTAGAATATGGCGCCAAAGATTACACTATAAATTTCTCCATGTATATAGTTGCAGTAATAATATTTCAAACATATGTACTTTTTAAATGAAATAAATAGAAAATTATACAGTTTTCCAGTTATATACCATATACATTTCATTTGTATGGCAGAAGATTAAATCTGAATGAGAGATACAAACCTGAAAGTTGTGGGTCAGTTCCGGCGTTTTGGGCGTGTCTGACTGTGACTGGAGGTAGGAGAGCTTGGGTGGTTCAGGGAAACCACTCCGGATGCTGGAATTCTCTCTCCCTGATACACTGGAAAAGGCTACCGGCTCATAACTGAAGGTATTTGCCATTCCTCGCAGTTTCTGTAGAAATATTAAATAAGAGAATTTAAGGCAGGCTATATATTATATGCAATATCAGGGCTAGATATAAATTAACAAGCCATTCGGATTGATATGTCTCGCCTGTGCCCCACTTTGACCATCAATGCACATGTCAAGTATGGTGGTCTAGCACTTATAGTTTCAGAAATACTAACTTAAACGCAAAATCTTAATGTTGACAAAGTCAATGGACCATGATAGGTAGACTGCATACAGCATTTGATGCATGGGTTGGGATGTACATGTACTATACCTATATAAGATGCATCTATGGTCCAAGTTTGGTTTGTCTAGCACTTATACTTTCAGTGAAACTAACTTAAACGCAAAAAATTATTGTTGATGCAGCCGCCGTAGCCGGAAAAGCAACACCTTAGTGTCATTTCCGGTATGTCGTGGCAACGAGACAAAAATAGAAACAAAACAAGGTTACCGTAAAGCGGTACACGATACGCCTGTCACGTGTTGAATAAGCAGTTGTTTGTATCATTGAAATATATGAAATATTTGTGAGTAATTGATATTAACGGAGAAATAATATAACAAACCTGGTAGATCAATGACTGCAATACAACATCTTCGAATGCTTGTAGTACTGCATTAATGAAACCAAGTAAAAATAACTCGGTCAATTACGGTCAGCTGAATGTGATTACATTTTCTTCACTGATTCAAGGGGTATAACTCCATAACTAACCTTACCATGAAGTCAATCTGTTGATAATACTTACAGACCGGTATAGAGTGGACACTGTTTCAGCAATTGATTAACGGGGTAGAACTCCCTAAATTAGTCAGATAATGGCGGTTATCTAACTTGACAGAGCTATCATGGTAATTAACCTTCTAATGAAGTTTGAAGTCAACCCATTAATAAATATTCAAGATATAGAGTAGACACATTGCACGTGCAGCAGCCTGATCATGTGATAACATAATCTTTTGATGGCGTATAAAAATTAGTCTGGGCTAGTAGTTTCCAATTTTGCTAGACCATTATCAAATTTTTACACGTTATTATGGCTTTAAACACTGGGTTCCAATTATACAGATATAGATATTTAAGGACTTATCTCACTGTAGACTACTCGAGTTTTCATCACTCCTAGCCTAGGGTTTATTTATTCCTGGAAAAGATCTTTTTCAAATAACCTCATATTGAATGATGTCACATTTTAAAAAAAAATCTTTGTTGTGCCAGCATCTTTCGCATTAATTTTTTTCCCCAATGGAGAAGACAAATCATGATGTCACGATTTTCGTATAGTGATATGTTGCTTTTCTTTGATATTGGGGATAGGGGATTAGACAGACATCTGACTTGCGAGAGCTGACTATAATTTAGATTAAAACTTGCGAGTTAATTATAAAACAAAATCTGCTCCAGGATTGCAGAAGCTCAAAGATTATCCCAAAAAATAATATTAGAAAAAATCTAGTATACTTTTGGATATAGACCTTGTGGTACATATATATGACATATCATCTAGCCATCAAAGTACATACTTCCATGAAATTTTATAAAATTCTTTGAAACGTCAGCTTGATACTCCAGGTGTTATGCTCTCTAATGCTCTCTGCATACCTTGAATATGTCATGATAAAATTGAAGGCACACAGCTAGCTATTCCATTGGTCTTGATACCTGTCCTTAGAAGATTACAGAAAAGCAACAATGGAATTCGAGTCTAAACATTTTTCCATTCACTCTTGCTGGATTCTTTTTAAGCACATCAAAGGATAAAACTAGTCTTCCTGTATCCACAAGGAAGTGCACACTGAGCCTTCAATTTCTTTTTGAGAAATTCAAGGGGTGCAGATAGCGTAATCCCTGGAGCATCAAGGATGTTTAAACATTAGCCCAACAAGATCTGACGGAACAGAATTGAAAATGCAAAAGAATCAGAACTAATTAAAGTATTGGAAAAGACATGTATTAGGCATTTATTCCATACCGACAAATCGCATGTCATTTCTGGAGTTTTCGGGGTCTCTGTCGTATATATCCTAGAGATGGGTGGGGTCTTCACGCTGAAGTCAAGGGGATCTGACTTGACCAGGTTCTTTACACCGATTCCCGGATTAGGTATTGGGCAGGGTTTGTGGATGGATGTGTTTTTTTTCAATAGTAGATTTTTCAGGTTAGGCGTTTGAAAGGTTGGTGATGCTGGACTGCAGGCCATCATTTGTTCCGACACCGCTTTTGACAACTTCTGGACATCAGGATTGCAAGCACTTGACATCTGAGCGAGCCGACGCATACTTGGAGTCTGAAATTCTGGGCTGGTTAGATCCACAGAGGCATGGCTGTTTAGGTCCAGGCGTGGGATTTTCTGATGACTCGGCATGTCCGACGCGGCGGGGCTCCACATGGGATAGGGACTCCCATAATGGCCTGTAAAATTCAATCATCAACATAGCCATTACCTTTAAATGGAGTGTAATGAAATCACAACTATTCATTCAACAATACATTACAATACTTGACAAGATTAAAATGATACATATCAAAAACTTAAAAAATAGTATGCATTGATTATTATATAAAGGAAAATAAATGTATAAAAGAAATTGTGCAAAACATGTAGGAAATATTTTAACTGCTTTTGCTCTCTTCATTGTGGTCAATTTTTTGAAAAACTTCATTGTTTGTGAAATTTGCATTCTATTTACTACAGACCAAACTCAAGGATTCTGCATTGTGATCATCTCTTTAAATAAATAAGATTTCTGCAAAGTTCTCACACATTACACATTCTCAAATTTTATCCTGTCTGTCCTTCATAGTATTGAATTGAAAATTGATTAATTTTTGGTCATATTTTTTTGCAGTCAGTTCTAGAAAATAACAGTCCACAAAGGTTTCTGTGGTATCAGTCAATATGACTGAGTTAGTAAAAAGCCTTTAAGGATAAAAAAATCTGTGTAAGATGTAATTATTTTACTGACAGGATTAGACACTACCTATGTTTCCTTGGTAGTCCACAGGACATGCTGAATAGATTATTTGTTAGTCCTACGTCAATGTAACTAGTCTAATATTTCCTTACGGGAACATCTCGTGCACAAAACATAATAAGAGCTGTTGGAGAACAGCATAGCTCGCCTATTGGTGATATCTATTATTATAAGATAGCAAATATCAATAGAAATACATGTACAGTAAAACCTTGATAAAATGGTTGTAATTTCATTTGCCACTTCACTTATAGTCAACATATTTCAAGGTCCCTTAATTGTCTTTTTCTTAAGAATTCCTTTATAGCAAATAGTTCGTAAATATGTATATACAGATATACCTGTAGACTGGAGTAGCGTAAATATGTATATACAGATATACCTGTAGACTGGAGTAGCATATTTATTAAAATATTTGTATGCTTTTGTTGTGCATTCTTTTTTCATGAACGCCTCAAGGGTTGGGATAATTTACCAAATTATCAAACAGATTGGTAAGGTTCAACAGTCTATAAATTATTATCTTTTACAAACGAAATAAGAAATCCTTGATATCTTTACCACACATTGTTTATTTCTGCTGCCAATAATGGATATAAGCCTGAGTGTGTAGATATTATCAGATTGAGTTTTAAAAGTCATCAGAAGATGAGAGGGGACATGGGATTGGCTGCACTTGTGTGAAAACCATGAAATGTTTTCACCCCTGAAATTTTATAATGAACTTTTCCAAGTTTTGAACTGGAAGAGTTCAAATGTGTCTTCAGGGGTGAATGAGGGAATGATCACAATGATGATGACTTGTGAAGATGTCATGATGATGATGATTTAATTAAATGCTGTATTGATGAAGAGGTTGATAATGAGATGTCATCATCATATAATAATCATTTTCAAATTCAACTGTTGAGATGTGAAAGTGGGTGGATGTCATTTTTATGTATATATAAAACACCCTTTGGAAAAGAAAAGAAAAGGAGGAAGAAAAAAACACCCTGACCTACATTACTATAAAGAATTCTGTCCCCAGTTTACAGGACAAACTCAGGAATACAAACCTGTCTGGTGTGCATCTGGTGTTTGTAGGGGAAGTTTCTTATCTCCCATCAGACTTGGTGTCACAAAGAGGCCATCATTTTCAAACTCTGGTGGTACCTGGTGGGACCTGCTTACTGGCTGGACACTATAAATACACACTACATTTCACACACCACAGAGACCATTTTTACATAATCTAAACAGTAAACACAGACCACCTTTCAAAAATGTTAACTTTTGGAATCAATATTTTCATTCAAAAAAGGTTTTCACATTAAACAGGTTAAATTTGCATAGGGAAAAAATAGAGGTAAACCTACAGCTGATCCAGATATAAAGAATTCTAGATAATCCAGGCTACCTTTAAACAATATCTATATAACTATTATAAGAGTCCCCCACCACTGCCAAAAATTGTAACTATAACTCACAGGTGTCAACCTCTGAAACCTCCAATGAGGGAGATCTCCATCATTTCACATTTCCAATGAGGGAGAAAGTGTGTGAAATGTGACTGAAACTGCTTTGCTCAATTTATCTTTCCCTTTTATGTATCAAAATAACTCCAAAAAGCTATCATTTGATTCAGACACACCTGCTATGATCATTAATAATTTGACTTTGTGTGAGTTTGGACATGAATGAGGTAGTTTTGAGGGAGATCGGTAAATTTTGGTCAAAAAGCTTTTTAACTTGCACTGTCAGCTTTTATAATCCCTGTCCCACAGCAGGGCAAAAGCATTAGAGAATTTCTATGTAGTATTTTGTTCACACAGTAACCTCCCCTTAATTTTGTTTTTGATACGACTGTTACATGATTGGGTTTTAGGATACTTCTGTTAACCTGGAAACTCAGTTGTTTACAGTGTCAGTCTAATGACCTGAGGAACAGGGTTTGAATCCCAGTTCAGCCCCTTTGTACTTTTTTCAATCAGAACACTGCTGTTTTTTTCTATTATTTATTTTAAATTTATAACAGTCCCACAAGGTTTTTTTCTTTTCTTTTCAAAAATGACTGAGTGATTCAAGCTACAGTGATGCAAGAAAAAGGCTCCGGTGCATAGTTACAGATTTTGGTAGTAGTAATTGGATCCTTAATGCATTATGTCAACGACATATAACAAGGTAAAAATGAAAATATGACCTGTACATAGCTGTATTAGTGTTGGACGCAGCTACAGCCTTCATCTTGTAAGACTGGAGTCTTGTGTGCTCCATGACAGGGGTCTTGGGTGTCTTGGATGTGTCCTGGACTTCCTGACGGCATGGGGGTGGGGTGCATCTGTAAAACAAATTTTACAATTTCTGAATAACATCAGTTTAAAAGTTATAATCTTTCTATTTCGTTATTAACTTTTTAAGGATCCATGTCCTACTGCACTGTGGTTTTTCCTTTAAACAGTAACCTCTCCTTAACTTCCATTTTGATATAACTGTAGCAGAGCTGGGCCAGGTTACTTCCGCTGACCAAGTAGTTCATTCGGTTAGAGTGATAATATAACAGTCTGAAGTCCAGGTTTCAAATCCCAGTCTAGCCCCTCTCATATTTTGCACTTAAAACACTGTTGCAGATTATATGTATTTTGTTTATTTCATCTTTATTGTTTTTCATAACAGTCCCGCAAGGTATGATTTTCTTTACAGAAATGATTTATCAAATCTATACTCTTTTTGGGAATATGTTTCTAATGGATGGTTACAGATTTTGTCAGTGGTACAGGGGTCCTGAATGACAAATACATACACTGCATCTCCATTGCTCGTATCATCTGTGGCTTCCATGTCCATCTCTTCTTCTTCATTGCCCTTAGGTTTCTCAGTGACTGAATAACATGAAAAGGTTTCACAATGACTGAATCAACACAGGAGGATTTACAATGGGGTTTTGGCAATCTAATGAAAATTAGATCAATGCATTGCTCCTGTTTACTGCTAGGTCTCATAGAATGAAACGCAGAGTATTGTTGTAAATATTGTACATTTTATGTCGACCACATGTGAGACGAGTCATTGACTCAATGTGTTATCGAATTTAAATAAAGTCTATTATTATTATTATTATTATTATTATTTATATTATTATTATTATTATTATTATTGGAGTGGAATAAAAGCTTGGTTTTAATCATATTGGGGGTTTGGGGAAATGGAACCCGAGGTGAAATTGGGGGAAAATTATTCCAATCATAACTATTTTGGGTAATTTGGATATTCATTCTAATAAACTCTTGAATTACTGTTTAACTTTATCTAAGCTTATTTTATGACAATATGATCATTTTGTCCTTCCTACATATATACTGCATTTTGATAACTGAATCAATCATTAGGATTGAAGGTTTTTTTTTTTTTAACATTTCCAACCTGAGAATTATAACAAGAGGCCCAAGGGCCTTAGCGGTCACCTGAGTTATATCATAGGTACTGGTAGCTTTATTTTATTGTTTAGATGTGATGTGGAAATCAGCATGTAAACTAAGTGAAATACAATACTTGTCATGTCATCAATGGATAAGAATTTGAAAATATTGGTAAATGTTCCCTTTGGGGCCCCGCCCTAGCCCTAGCCCCTGGGGTTGGGGCAGGAATCCTAATTTTACGAAGTAAAACTCTCATTTACCCAAGATGATTCTGACTAAGTTTGAGCAATTTTCTGCTGAAAATGGATAAAATATATACCGAAAAGTGTTATTTCCCTATATAAACTATA